TATGTGGCGGACGATGAGATGAAGAAGGCACGATATCATGATATGTTGAAAGATGAGATACGAGAGTTTGTGAGTATATCCAGCTGCCAGAAATTGGAGGACATGATAGCTTGGGCTCGCGAGCGGGAGATTGTTTTTTGGAGTACGTGAAGAATAAGAAGTTGTTAGGTCTATATAGTGTTGTGTCAAATGTGTGCTTTATAGTTTAGTTTATTCCGAAATGGGCATGTCCAGGTTCGGAACTGCTTATTATCGTTGCCTATATATATAGCATGCATGTAACAAATTAGGGTAACGTATTTGAACCCTAACGCCATTTTTGTACGCTCTCACATAGAAGTTCCATCTTTGAGAACTCTTCTAGAGCCGTTTAATCAAAGAATTAAGCACACTTTTGATCATTTATTTCTTGTCATTAATTTTGCTCTCAAATATAGAATCTATCAATCATTATTATTTTCATAATTGGTATCAGAGCAGGAGATAGTGTAATTAATTCTCTATTATTTTGTTGAGTAAATGGTTTTACGTTTTTCTTAGATCTGTTCTTGTTGTCTCAATTGTTTCAATCGATTGTACATTACAGATCTAGATCTCTAGATCAACCTTGATCTCGATTCAAGTTTTACACATCTGGTTCTATATTAATTTTAGTGAATTCTTAACAATATGCCTAACGACGATCCTTACGCTCTTTCGTTCAATCTCTCAAGCAGCATTGGATCTACGACAAGGATTCCAATCCTCTTTCCAGAAGATTATGAAGTCTGGGCTCTTCACTTTAGAACATGGCTCTACTATATGGCAGGCAATAACATAGGAAACGTTCATGTATTCGGGTATTAGACAAGCAATCAAAACTATGGCTGATTATAATGCACTCCTTATTGAACATACTAATGTTTCAAACGATGAGAAGAATAAGCTAATGTCACACCCCCAAACCAGAACGGCGGAAATGTTTGGGGGTGGATGACTTTCATGTATAGTATCATAACAATTGAATAATAGAGATCAAAGCATTACAACCATCAAATTGATAATTTATAAGTTGTTACATTGTATTCAAATCATTGTTTGCTTGACATCAAATACATGTGACAAAATATATGACTTGATGTTGTAGCACTTCATCCTTAAAAACCATTTTTTATTACCTGTTTACTGATTTCCTGAGAATACAAGTAGTTTTGAAAAGAGTGTCAACAATTAAGTTGGTGAGTTCATAAGCGTTTTGTATGAGAGAAATTGGTAGTTTTTCCTTGAAAAATGATAGAGTGTCATTTCAGAAAATCCAATATTTTCTTTAAAATGAACTGTAAGTCTTAAATCCAAAGACTAAAAATGTAAGTAGTGTTGTACTGAAAAATAGTATTATGACGTTTTATCTTTATATGAAACTACTTGTATGTTATCCCCGTAAACCAAATGTTTTGTTAATACCCCATGTGAGTTATCATAACCATGCTAATGACTGATATGCCTGCTACGACGTTCTTCAGGCGTCGGAACTGTTATGACCTTTGTCACCCTAGACTTGTCGGTCTAACTGTAGCTAACAACTCAGGTGCGGGGTTGTCAATCCCGTATAGATCTATACACAAGTGGCACCCTCTCCCTACAAGAGACTCTGGTTATAATGCAAGACGTAATGTGTACTCTGGTAGGTACGGTGAAACCAAATGTCTCACAAAATTGTATCAACCGGTTTACGTGTACTGAAAACCCTTTGTAAATGTAAGTATTATCCTTCCATGGTGGTTACACAATGTAAAAAATAATTATACTTTTAAATAATTATTTCTTTGTCCCAAAAAAAGTAAAATAGTATGAATGCCCCATAAACTATACCTATTATAGTTTATAAAAATTGTTTCGCTGAAATGATGAATCCTTTGTATGTACCATATATATATATATATATATATATATATATACACACATATTTGTGTAGAATAACATAGTGTATTTGTACGTTGATTTTCGTAGCATTGCATTTTTAGTCAAAACCTTGTATGTATATGTTTCACAATTAGGAAATAAAGTTGTTTCATAGATCTAGCATTTTGTATAACAAGTAACAAAACATATTTAACCATTTCGTATTTTAACACAAGTTTTCTTGTGTTTTACTTGTATTCCCCCCTAAAACATAGAAAATCTCAGAAAATGTAGGGGTATGAACTCACCTTGAGTGTGTTATTGGCTGGCTAACGAAGTGATGGGGATGATCTTCAAGTTAAAATACGTGAAGGTGTTCGTATCCTATAAGTATTTAACACACAATATTATGTGTATATTAGTTGAACTAATATGTAAGTATTATAAAAACACTGGATTAAACATAAGGAATACTTACAAAGATCCTAAGAATCAAATGAAGAACTAGTCTCCTGGGAAAGTTTGAAGGTGTTTCTGGGAAACTGTTTGAAGATTTGAAGATGTTGTTGGGGATAAAGCGTATGAGCTTGAAGATGTATGAAGTTGAGCTTGCTTCTTTGAGAGAAAATGAAGGAAATTTGAAGATGTAAATGAGGAATGTGATGGTGTTTTTAGCCTATTATATAGAAGAGGGGATAAGAGTGATGTGATGTTTGCATTGGTTTGTGTATTTTATCTCATTGGTAAAAGGATCAACCAATCGTATTGCAACACCATTGAATCAAATTGGTGATTTCGTCCAAGGCACCACCGAAATCACCTTGTACACCACTGAAATCACATGTGATTTCGGTTTAGGGAGGATTTCGGTCAAGCTAGGATTTTGGTTAAGTGGGATTTCGGCCATGACATGAGATTTCGGTCCATCTCAATCGAAATCTCATGGTTTTTGATTCCCAAAACCGAAAACCATTAAGCATGGCATAAATTCATGCTTTATGAATTATCTATTTGACTTTTGTTGACCCAAAATAGTCGGTTGTCACATTATCCCCCCGTTAGAGGGAATTTCGTCCCGAAATTAGTTCTAGAGTGGGCGCTCATGAACTAGGGAAAATATGTGGGTACTTTGGATTCAACCCACGCTCACTTGTATCACTTCATGGAATTTATCTCGAGTGATCGTGAGACGGTAATATCATATAAGCCTTCAAACCTAGAGATATGAGTTCTCGATTATGATTTGGTTGTGCATTAATTGTACGAAAACGCATCGGCAACTCGATGTTATAAAACGTGCTTTTGTGTGTGATTCAACAAATAGTTAGTACAAGCATATGAGTCGAAGTTTATCTGTTCCTTTTAGTCCTTGGAGGATTGAAAGCGATATCTGGGCCCCTTGATGATTTTGTTTTGACTTATGTGTCGGGCCCGGTCAGAACCAAATTGATGTGTTCAGTTTAGTTCTATGTCAAACAAATCGGAAATCGGGAAACAAACTGCTAGACAATAAGTATGCCATTGTTCCATGTATTTGTCCGGCTGATATCTAGAGCAGAGGATTATATGATCACTTATCTTAAATGACGCATCATCATCTTAGTTCCGCGAGACTTTGAAAGAGCTACGATTGCTGGTCGGTTCCTGAAGTCATACTTGCAACTATAGTTATTAGACTTATCCAAGTGGAAGACTGTTGGATAAGGTGTCTACGTCCATAACTATATTTGGTATGTACTTGACCCGACTTGGCATGGTCAATTTGGGTTGCATGGCATCTCAACAATTGGATAGACAAAATGAGAATAAGGACACTTATGATTTGTTAATATATTCTAATATATTAATATGAAATCATATTATTTAATTAGTATTGACCAAGAATTAATTTGGAATTAATTTGTGATCAAAAGAGACTAATTAAATATATGATGATTGATTATGTAAATCTTTCATACTTATATAGTGGGCTTATGGTTCATGATTCACTAGATTGGGCTAGGACCCATTGGGTGCTCCATGGATGCTCAATGGAGGTTAAAACCCATGGATCATGGGGGAAATGAAAAGCCATGCACATTAGGGTTTACATGGTGTAACCCTACATGTGACACACTAGAGGGCTAGCCGATTTTTGAGTGAAAGTGTTATACTCTCAAGTTATTCCAAGAGTTGTGGTGTTGTGTGAAACATTTGAGGCATCACATTTGGGGTGCTAGGCTCACAAGGTCTTAAGGAATCCAAGCAACTACAAAGGTATGTCATTCTACTAGTTTTTTTATATTTCAAGTACCCCATGCCATGCTAGTTAGGATGTGAACCTTGGAAAATCAAATTTGCATGTATATTAGAGAAAACATAGATCCAAGGTTTCTAGGGTTGCATGTATACCATAGGAGTGTTAGAATGCTCAAAACCCATCAGTGGTATCAAAGCCTAGGCTTGTTTTTTTTGTATACTTGATGCAAAATGCTTTAAAAATTCGAAAATTTTGCCCACTGTTCAGTGAACTCGCCGAGTCCATGGGGGGACTCGACGATTCCATGTGTTAATTCATCCTACAAATTGTTTGATGATGTAATTCTTGATCTAAATGTTATTGATGGAGTTCATAATTTGTCCTCAAGTTATGGATTATCAAAAGTCACTTCTTTAAAGAGTCATTAAATAACCATAGGTTACATAAAATGAAGAGTATTCATTTTAATAGACCATTAAACTCATAAGTATGAAGTTGAAAGGTTTTGAATAGTTTCAAAAACTTTCCCTCAAGTTTTGAAATTTGTAAAGTCATTTTAAAAACTTTAATTCTAAACCCTAGAGTTTTAAAAGTTAAAATTCAACCCTTATACTTTATAGTATTATAAGTTATATATATATATATTTTATAAAGCATAATAATGTGGAGCCTACAAGAATTTTAAGACATTGATCTTAAAAACAAGGAAATGAACTCTTGACCCTTGGATCAAAATTGAATGGTAGATATTGAAAAATTGATGATCCATGTGAACATAGAATAACCAATCAGAATTGAAGGATAATATGTACAACCATTTGGAGCACAAATCTTAAAGAAACTACAAGTTGCATATGCACAACTTGTAAAGGAAAGAAATATGACACAGATTTTACATGTTGGTCACATGGATTGCCAACGTGTTTAATTTGGGTCGTTGATTTGTCTTGGGTCCAATGGTCTCCTAATTGATAACACACAAATACACCTTACAAACCCCTAACACTCTTCAGCCTCTCTCTTTCTCGATCGACTTTCCCTCTTCAACCCCGTCTTCTTCATTCCACAACCCGCTACTTCTACCATACCCACCATCAATCGTCACAGCTTAACATCGTATGCGCACCAGATCGACCTTCGTACCACCACTTACAACGATCACAACCAGCCATTAGCACCACATCCATCGCTGACGCACGATCTCGACCGTCAGCCTTCGTCTTCAACACATAACCACGCTCTCCCTCAAACGCCATTGGCGGATATAGATAACAAAAGTAAGCATGTGACCTTCACAACAATACACATTCCCGAATCTTATCTTTTCATGTTTTTCGTCCTTCTCCACCTAACTCAATCAGCACCTCCGCCACACACACACACACACAAATTCTACATACGAACCTGATTTTCATTACTCTTTATGTAAAATTATTGTTTTTTTGTATATCGGAATCCTATTTCCCCACTTCATTTCAAAAAGGTATGTTTTTCAGTACGCTCATGTATGCTTCCTGTAATATTTTCCTAGATTTTAATAAGTTCAATTCGTGTGTGTGATTATATTTAACTTTTTATATCTGAAGCAATAGATGTTATTTTCTGTATGCGCATGAATGTAACTTGATTATCAGATTTTTGACTTTTCAGATCTAAAACAATAGATAATATTTTCTGGAGAAAGATGCTTCGGGGCTGCATTTGAATTTGTGTGGTCTACAGATGTGATTATTCTGTTAGTAAAAGCGCATATGATATCAATTTTTTAAATAAATCACTTCATGTTTGTGCACTTCTTATTGTTGATTATTATCCATATCTTGATGTATGACGTCGGGAAAGGATTTAAATTTTAAAATACATGGATTTGTGAAAAAAAAAGGTGTAAAAATGGTTTGTTTGGGACTAACAACAATCTGTTTGGGTTGCTACAACAGTTTGTTTGGAAAAGTTACCTTATTTAGATAATGTTTAAATGCAACATTATATGTAGTTCTTTAATCTTATTTTTGAACTGCTTCATGATATTTGAGTTGTTCATTAGTTGACTTTAGTTTTATTTTGCCATTACAAGTTCTTGATAGGAAAACTAATCATAAAATCCGAAAATAATGGTATGAGCATTCCACTTCCATATCTTTTATGTTTTAATAAAAGATTTATAAAATATTAAATTTTCTACATGTACTTTATATGAGTATGACTATGAGTGTGTGTGTGTGTGGTGTGAGCAGTTTATTTTGTTAAGAGTTTTTTATTCCCTGCATTTAACTCATTTTTATATTTTTTCAGCATTGTTGTTTCATTGCATTTTACTTATTTACAACGTTTTAGCATTGATTTTTCCTGCATTTAACTAATTTTTATACAAAAAATGGAAGAACATAAATATCTTTAGCATTTAATTATTTTTATGAGTTAGTATAAGAAATGGCAAAGTACTTTCTTTTATTTGTTTTTAGTTTGAATGTATAACATAGCAACATACTTCATGTTTTCTAATAAAAAGGTTTTACTTTCATTTTGTTTTCCTTTTTAGTGCAGTGTACTTTAAAGGTCACTTAAAGCTATTCATGTATGTGAATCAAGATTAATAAAAAAGTTTTACTTATATTTGTATTAACCTTTTCATGTTGGTGTACGATTGAGGGGATAATTCATATTAACCACAAGTACAAGATATTTTCTTAACTTGTGGAGACTGTTGATATCGTTATATTGTGATCTTGGACATCGGTAAATAATCAAAGTTTATTTATTATGGATGCAGGATTGCTAGCAGAGAAGTTTCATGTTTTATGAGGACACTAAAGTAAGGGAAGACAAATTAGAAATAGATCTGACCATATCTTTTAGATTTTGTTAATTTGTGTATGTTTTTGTTTTTTATGGTTCGAGTATTTTCATTTCATCTAGCTCTTGTGGAGTGCTTTGATTTCTATTTGGGTACCACCAAATACGACATGATTTAACATTATTAAATATAATTATATAAAAAACGGAGAGTCGGTAATTATGTTTCTTTTTTTCATTGTGTGCGTTGTTAAGAAAAAAATTTACATTGTTTTACATAAAATATTAAAAAAACAAGAAAAATATTTTACAATACAAACTAAAATAAAACAAAAGTTATAAAACTAAAAGCTTATTAAATATCCAGCACAAAATAACTATTAGAGAATGACTACGTAAAAATTACTTTTAGAAGAAACATACCGTTTCTAATATTTTTATATGAAAAATATTTGTCTTAAGATAAAAGGAATACAATTATTTAATTAGATTTTCGGATTTTTAATTTTGCAATTTGAAAGTAGTCAAAGGTATCTTAGAAAAGTTGATAAAACAATTTTTTGAGCACGTGAGTTTATTGCTAAATTAGATTTGACTAAAATGTTGTTAGATATGTATTATTTAATTATATATAAAATTTAATAATTATATTCAAAAAACAAAGTGGATAACACGTTTAAGTAAATACATTTATCGGGTGTTTGTTTTTGGACAACAAATTTAAAAATAACTTGGACTTTTCATTTTCAAATTAAAGAAAAATCGATTTAAAATTATACCAAACAATATTATAAAAATATATTTTGACAGTAGACTGATTTTTGCAACGTAATTTTATACTAAACTTCATAAATCCTAATTTCTAACCATTAGAATATATTCCAACGTAATTATATTAAAGAAAATATATTAATTTTTTCTTATGTTTCACAATTATGAATCTATTCCACTGTATATTTATTGTAAATCAAAACAGAACATAATTTTATTTAGAACCTAAAATAGCAATGTATTTTTATTTTTAACAAAAAAAAAATAACATAATTTTATTTTTAATCAAAATAACAAAAGAATTTTATTTTTAATCAAAATAACAAAAGAATTTTATTTTTATCTGAAAAAGTGTACAAACTTCTATCATTAAAAAAAGCATACTTTATTTTTAACCCATAAAAGAAACATAATTTTATTATTAACAGAAAATAATGTGTTCAAATCAAATTCATCGACCGTTTAACAAAACATATCGCTTTTTTGATATTATATTTTTCATTTTCCCTTTATGAACACCACATTCCAAATAATCGGTAAAGTAAAACCAGAGCAATACATGACATCGGAAAGAAAACTATTCGACCCTCGTAGCTATGCACCTAGATAGAAACTATTAACCGCAAGGAACAACCCGACACAAAATAATAAGCCAAAAGCTGAAATTGACAGAAAACTGAAACTAATCGCCGCATGAACACTATTTTCATAAATTAATTATCTGCCCTGCCGCATTGCGCGGATACTTTAGTAGTATATATATATATATATATATATATATATATATATATATATATATATATATATAAGATCAAGTCAGTCTTACCGGTAGTAGGCCTCATTCACGAAGCCAGTCTATAAGGGGGGTATAAGGTTGTTGCCTATAATTCTCATTAAAAGTATAATGATAAATATAAAGTAACTAACCTTTTATAAATTCCCAATCTTAGTTACTTTAGGAAAATGTGAAATAGGTGCTAACCCATGAAATTACAGTTTGTACCTTACCAATTCGTTGGTGGAGCATGTGTGGGTAACCAACACACTAACATGGACTAGTAAGAGTGGCAAATGGTGACTTAATATTTATCATAGATCAGTGGAGCGCGTGTGGGTAACTGGCACATCGATTAGGTGATAAAGATTAAGGATGCCAAGTTAATTTGCATGGTTATTCACACATTGTTTGTGATCCTCGGCATCTCAGTCACAAACTTGAGAGGGCACAATCGAGATTTAAACATGCCATTGAAAAGTTCAATGAATCTCAAAAGATCTAGGAGTTTCAATCCAATTAAAACCTAATAATTTATTTCGTTTTTCATGGTGGAAATTGGTGAATCGTCATTCGCCTACCTTCAAATATTTTATAGCTTGGATTACGACATCCCTCTTCCAAGTTATAAAGTATTGTGTTGGGTCCTAGCCTTAATACTACATTTGGGTGTCTTATTAAGGATTCAATATCTAATCTAAACTTGTCTTTCTTCTTTTCAGATGTCTTCTAACAATGCTGCTTCTGGCTCAAACCCTACCGACTCCTTCTCTCTCATGAACCTTTGTGGGAGAGTCATCTTTGATGGTTCAAACTTTAATGATTGGATCAGGAACATCAGGATGGTCACACGTTACGAGGACAAATAATATTTCCTCGACAAGGAGCTAAAGGAAATTGATGAGGCTACTGCTACTCTAGAGGAGATCGCTGACTTTAGGGAACATATGAGAGATGCTACCAAGATGGCATGTATCATGTTGGCCACAATGAAAGCTGAACTCTAGAAGTCCTATGAGTACTTTTACCCTTTTGAGATGCACATGGACCTGATGGACCGCTACCATCAAAGTGCTCGTCAAGAGAGGTATGAAATCATCTCTTCCATGATAACAACTCGAATGAAGGATGGTGAACCCATCACGGGCCACATGCAGAAAATGCAAAGGTTTGTGGACCGTTTGCTCAAGTTGAATGTGAACTTCCCCCGATGAGTTGGCTATTGATATCATACTGCACTCCTTACCTACTTGTTATGATCAATTCTGAATGACATATCACATGAACAAGGAGGAGGTCACACTTAGCAAACTTCAAGGGCTTTTGAAGACCGCTGAAACTGGTCTTAAAGGCAAATCGGTTGTTACCACTCCTACTCCTACCGCCGCCCCTGTTTTGGCAATCGGGAAAAGTATAGGGAATAAGAGGAAGACCCATTTGAAGGGTACCAAGGGAAAGTCTCTTGATGGCTCCTCTTCAAGTGGAACCAAATGCGGTTCTGTCACTCCTTCTTCCAACCCAAAAGAAGCTCAATGCTTCTATTATCAGGAAAAGGGGCACTGGAAACGAAAATGCCCCATGTACCTGCAAGATGTTAAGGATGGGAAGGTCAAGCCTACCCATACAGGTATTTACACTATATTGTCTAATAACTCACCACATACTACTTCTTGGGTTCTTGATACAGGTTGCGGTATTCATATATGTTCTGATTTGCAGGGCCTAAGAAGAAGTGAGGATGTGGAGCAAGGAAAGATAAACTTGATCATGGGGAATAGGAAAGCTTCACCTGTCACCAAGATTGGAGTTTATTCTTTGTTGCTAAGTAGTGGGTTAGTGTTAGATTTGAATAAGTGTTGTTACTCGTCTGAAATGGCGATAAATATTATTTCTTTTCACGGTTTGTACAAACAAGGGTTTACTTGTTCATTTGATAATGAATGTGGTGGTATTAATGCTTTTTATAATAACGATCTTTATTTTAAAGCATTACCTTGTGATGGTGTATATGAAACTGTGTTGGTTGTAGATAACTTTGGAAATAATGTGTTACATATCGATTCTTCCACTAGTTTGGATAAAGCATCCTTGTGGCATTGTCGTCTTGGACATGTTAACAAGAAGTGCATAGGCCAACTCCAGAAGGTTGGAGTCTTGGAGTCATTTGACTTAAAGTCGGATAATAGTTGCGAGTCTTGTTTGCTTGGAAAAATGACAAAGTCACCCTTCACTGGTACTTGTGCTAGGGGTGAAGGTTTGTTGGACCTCATACATACAGATGTGTGTGGACCCTTCAGAACCACCACGAAGGAGGTTAACCGCTTCTATGTGACTTTTAATGATGATTACAGTGGATATGGTTATGTCTACTTAATCAAGCATAAGTCAGAAACCTTTGAAAAGTTCAAAGAGTTTAAACAAGAAGTGTAGAATCAGTTAGGAAGGAACATTAAGATGCTCCATTCCGATCGAGGAGGAGGGTATCTTAGTACAGAGTTCCTTGACTACCTTAAGGAATGTGGAATTGTTTCACAATTGACACCTCCCAGAACACTAAAACTTAATGGTGTGGCTGAGAGGCGCAATCGAACCTTGTTAGACATGGTTCGTTCCATGATGAGTGGAGCTTCGTTACCAATCTCATTCTGGGGGTATGCCTTAGAGACTGCCGCCAATATCCTTAATCGAGTCCCTACCAAGAAGGTTGCCAAAACACCTCACGAGATATGGACTGGGAAAGTTCCCAATTTACACCACATCAAGATTTGGGGTTGCGAGGCTTTCGTGAGACGTGAGACTCAGGACAAGCTCGAACCTCGTAGTGAGCGGTGTATTTTCATCGGCTACCCACAAAATTCTTTTGGTTACCTCTTCTACAGACCCAATGAGAATGTGGTCTTTGTGGCAAGGAGAGGGGTCTTTCGAGAGAGAGAGAGAGAGTTTATAAGCCAAGGAAACAGTGGGAGGCAAATTGACCTTGAAAAACTTCAAGAGTCAAGCGGTGAAGGAACCTCAAACCCTAGCAGTCAACCTGAGGAGGAAACTCCTGTTGATGAATCCGTACCTCTGAGGCATTCCACAAGAGTTAGGAATCCACCTGAGCATTACTATGGTTTTCATATTACTGCGGAAGGTGATGCATTTATCAGTGACAGTACACTGGTCAATCTGGATGAACCTAACAGCTTTAAGGAAGCCATGGTAGGCCCTGAATCTACCAAATGGAAAGAGGCCATGGATAGCGAGATAGTACATGTATGGCAATCAAGTTTGGAACTTGGTTGACAGTGTACCGGGTCGTAAGACGGTCGGGTGCAAGTGGATATTCAAGAAGAAGACCGACATGGATGGGAATGTACACACTTATAAAGCGCGATTGGTTACGAAGGGCTTTACTCAAACTCCAGGAGTTGACTATGATGAGACCTTCTCACCAATAACGAAGATTATGTCTATTAGGGTTTTGATGGCCATAGCTGCATTTCATGATTATGAAATATGGCAAATGGATGTCAAAACCGCTTTCCTTAATGGAAAGTTGGCTGAGGATGTTTACATGAGTCACCCAGAGGGTTTTGTCGATGCAAAGCACCCTAATAGAGTGTGTAAGCTTGAGAAATCCATCTATGGATTGAAACAAGCATCTCGCAGATGGAATCTTTGTTTCTATGAGAAAG